ATCTTTTTTGGTTTTTAAACTTGAAAACACGATTTTGAATTTTTGGCCATAGGTTCCAAAGAAAATTTTACTGACTTCTTGAAAGTACCATTAATTAAGCATGCAAAAAAAATACATTTTTAAAAAAGAATTTTCAAAAAGTCTTCTTGTTTACTAACAAAAATTACGACATGTAAGAAAGACATGCAAAAAGATGCCAACGGCACGTAGTGTTCCCAAGCGGTCACCCATCCAAGTACTAACTACGCCCGACGTTGCTTAACTTCAGTGATCGGACGAGAACTGGTGTATTCAACGTGGTATGGTCGTTGGCGGAAATAATTTCGTTTATAACTATATTTAAAAACTTTAAAAATATAACCAGTATAATATTATCTAGGAGGACGATTAATACAAATAATGATACAAATTATAATTATTGTTACAATATCATTATATTATATTATTTTTAGTAACAAATAATAATTAAAAAATAAATCACTAGCTAGGCCATATCTCATGTTATTGTATAGTTTACTACATCCTAATATTAACATTACTCTAATTTGTAGGTGCAACTAGTGGCGTAACCAGGTGGATGGTTAAGGGGCCCACCCCCACCCAAATGGACCGTGTTGACTTTAGAATTTTATCAAGATTAATAAAAAAATTAAAAGTGTAAGTAAAAGACATAATATTGTATTTGTATACTCAGCCCCTCCCCCCCCCATACAAAATTCCTGGCTACGCCACTGGGTGAAACTATACCTTTAGAACACGGGGTGCTATAATAATATTATAAATGTTAAAATGCCTCACAGTGTCCCCCACATGGCCACATGGACATGGCACATCCCCTACTACTAAAATCACATAATCTTATACAGTGACATAGCCAGGGGGGGGGAGGTCAGGTGTGTACCTTTAACGTTTTATAATTAATATAAAACTCATGACTGCTTACCAGTAAATAGTCATACACAGTCCACCACAGCGTTCAACCTATATAGTGTTTTTTGGTGTGACCCGTTGGCTAAAATTTGTCCGGAATCCATTTCTGTGCAATGTGTATCTTAATGCTAATAAAACGTCTATACATTTATTATAAGACTATGTTATGACTTAAAATGAATTAAAAATATGACTTACCGACCAAAATTGTTTAAATATTTTTTCGCTAAATATTTTATTATTTAAAATCATAAAATTGATAGTACCTATTTGATATTTCACTATAATAATAATAGTTAGGCGTACCTAGACCACCTAAAAAACAAGGGGCGCTAAATACCCTTTTGCACCCCCCTAGTTGCGCCAGTGATTATTTTATTTAGTTATTTACTAATTTATAATAATTATTAATTAGTACTAATTATTACTATGAAAATTGTATAAGCACATCACACGTGATAAGATGCAGTTTTTGTTGCCTATACACTATTTAAAAGGCGTAACAATGTCTTAAAATAAGGAGTAATACTTTAATTATTATTATTATTTTACATTATAATAATATCTATACAAGTATGGTCGTTACAAATTATATAAAAATTGTGTTTTGTTAAATAACAATAGAAATAATAAATATAATACAGTTTTTATTAGGTAGGTCATCAAAAGCTAATAATTTTGTGTGTAACTGAGTAAGTGACAACACTTGCAATAATAATTAACGATTTTGTTAGTTACTTATACATCGTATTTGATTACAATAGTATTACAACCGATACATTTTTATTTAGATAATTTAAAATTTAAATCTATTCAATAGTATAATATTTGATGTGGGTGTTTAAATATAAATTATTCAACACTTAGTTTTTATGGTTTCAGTTCTATATGCATATCTACAGTTCAACGCTTATTTACATCCCCAATGCATAGGCCTAGTATGATATCAATACGGGAGATTTAGAAACTAGAGTAATCCACACCTAATTTATATACTTCATGTGTATCTACAGAGTGTACCTACCTAAATATAGAAATATTTTTGTTAATAATAACATTAAAATCTTTTAAAATACAATATTCAATAAAAACATTGTTTTATTATAAAACAATTATATTTATAACATACGTTTCTAATCAAATTCAAATCAATAAAATAGTCTTGCAAAATTATTCGTCACGGAGAAAACGAATCAACGGGAATTTGACAGCGGCTTACAGCTGACGTAGTTTAACTAAGGTGTTTAACTTGTCATGCTTTTATTAGCGGCCTTAAAATATATTTTCTATTAGTAGCTTGCTTTTAAAGTTTATTTTTAATGATATCTAAACTAAACATTCAGGATTTTTAAATAAAATAGTTGAGCATATTTTATAAAGATTATTATAATATTATGTTATAATGCTACTTATTGATAATAACTAATGCGCAATAATAAAGTTTTGATTTGTACATAATTAATTAATCTTTGAACAATATTTTATTTTAATTAGGTATATATGTGAACGAACATAATTTTAATTTTCTAATTCGTTACTATTTAAGTTTAGATCCCGTTGTTGGTAAGTGGTAACACCTATTCAATGTTAAAGAACGAAGTGAAAGAGATAGATTAATGTGTTATTCTCCGAGTAAAAGATAATTGTGTAGTCACTAGTCATTCAAAACAGTTCTAGTGTAGGTTACTTGTAATCTATTCAATAGCGAGTGGGTGAAATAAATAGAAATTTATTAAATGCTTTTGACGTGGTATAAAATGTATATTGTTATACTAAACAGCAACTAGTAAAATTGATAATACATTTTTCAGTAGGTATAGGTACTAAAAAGTGTTCAGTTTAAACTAATCTCCTGAGTAATCAATTATAATAGAGCCATAGAGGTACATAATACCTATTATGTATCTAGGTACATATAAATCGTTAGTCATTTGAAATATCGATGAATATTACATCATGGTAATCTTGTTTCTTAAACTCTCATTCATGTGCAAATTACATTCAAAATAAATCATTTTTAATATGTGTATTCATTTTGAAAATATAATTTATGATAAATATAATAAAAAAAAATGAAAAGTGTACATATCATATTAAATAAACGTAAAAATAATCATCTTCATTGTATTATTTATTCTTAAAAATTAAATATTTTGGATATGTGATTTCACATCTCAACTTACTACATTACACATTATACTTTTAATATACATTTTCCCACTAGTCACCGCGTTTGGTCTAGTAAAGAATATAATAGTAAAAGATAAAATTATATATATATAAAAGACAATAGTTTAATGCTAAATGCTAATATTATGATGTTATAGTACCTAACTGATAACTTATCAGTGATAAGTAGGTAATAAATACAATGGTGTTATAGCTAATAAACGTTTATAATTTATAAATATACACATCGTAGGTATTACTTATTTCGTATTGCTGGTAGATAGGTATTTTATAAATATAATATAATAAGTTATAATAGGTATATAACTACTTAAAAATATTCATAAATATTGTTATTTACGTTCAGTAAAATGAATAAGCTTAATTAAATAAATTGGTAAATAAAATACGTTCAAGTCATACAGTTTATTTTGATTTTTATGATAGTATACTTAATCTATTTGAATTTATTTCAAATGTATTAATGTGATAATACTATAGGTTATATGATATTCAGAATTATGTATTATCTTGGTCCTATAATAAAGATAATTTGAATATAACTGCTTTATGTGTTGGGTTAACTATAGCAGGCTTATTTATTGTTAGGATTTTTCATAACTGCAGAAATATAAATTTTGTTACACTCAAGTCACTGTATTTGTTATGATTATGCATTGTGTGATAGGTATTTTTAGGCTTTATGTTTTTGAACTAATATTTTCAGATACATAAGTTTGAATATTAAAAATAAAATTAACAAAATAATAATAAAATTAAATACCTATTGATATAAGTTATTGAATATATTTTATAATTTATTAGAATTAATACAATACATTTTACAATGCTTAATTTATCCTTAAATAGGTAGTAGACAATTGGAAACTTTTTGTTATTAGTTATAGGCTTAAATACAAAACAGTACCTATATAATATTTGGAATTTGAAGCTTTTGAAAAATGAAATAAATTTATTAATTGTAATTTATTCGTATGTTGTTATTTTTTTTAGCTGTGCATCATGGTTATCTTGTTTCTTAAACTCAAACATGTGCAAATTACACTCAAAATAAATCATTTTTAATATGTGTATTCATTTTGAAAATATAATTTATGATAAATATAAGAAAAAAAAATGAAAAGTATACATATCATATTAAATACATTTTGGCTAGAAAAATGCGTAGTTGTACAGTAATTATGGTGTTTTGGCAGTTTCTACTGCGGAACAGAACATATTGTATTCTCGGACGGATATATGCTGGTCCGGGGATAGAAGAGATTCATAATAGACAGATTGCTTGTGTGCCAAATTTCTACAAATGCAGCCTAAATGGACCATAATGTAATTTAACGTCTACCAGACACACAGACTGTGTTCGCTTTTCCTAGTTCTCGGTTTATAGTCACTGAAGTCCGTAGTTGTATATAGTACATCTAAACAGAACGTTACGTTATTTATCCTAAACGTTACGCTTAATATTAATAATTTGCTAATTTAAAATTTAATCATTTAATCATTTTATAAAAACAATAATTTTTTAATATAATTGATTTTTATTTTTGTATTAAAAAAATTATTTATAGAAAATTATTAAATATTATTCTATTTGAAACTAAATTAAAATTTTGAATTAAAGTAATCTAAGTATTTCTCTAGCAATTATCCAATATGAGTTCCACGAGCTCTATACATATGTCTCATTTTCGTGTTTTTAAATCGCATTTGGCTTCAAGTTCGCACTAGGCACTTTTAGTTGAATATAAAAATAACCATTACGGGATCAGTGGACGTGGAGTTGGCCCGCATTCAATACTCCGGTGCACATTGCGTTGTTGACATTTCATATCCAGCAGTCGTACTGTAGCTGCAGGTCTTGATAATATGCAAATGTAATCATGACTTCGTCGTATCGAAACTCACGGGTAAGTAATCTAATTAAATTATCGTATTTATATTATTTGTTTTTGTTTTGTTATAATTTATAAGACGTTTTATTAATTTATTAATAGCCACCATGGAGATCTCCGAGCCAGAGTTATACATCGGCTCCAGAACGTCCTACTACTTTAGTAAGTACAACATAAATTGAAATAATTCAAAATTATATGAAATATTTATTTTTTTTCAATAATTTTAGGGAACAAGTTCAAACCGTTTTTTAAGTGGAAGTTCATACAGGGCTTTAACCGGGAATTCAGCTCTACCAACTCGTACGTACGGCAGCGATTCAAGCTCCGTAACTGCACTAAAAGACAAATTTTCTTCCATTGCGAGGGACAAAGCTGTATTAGCTGATAAAAGGATGAGAGTGGCGTCATCAGGTTTTGGTAACAAACCTACTCTGAGAACTGGAAGTGCTAGCCGCTTCGGTGCGCCGATTGTTCGAAGTCCGATCAAGGAACAATCTGTAACAGTTTTTGGAGTATGCAATGTACCAGATATAGAAGCAGATACTCCAGTAGATATTATGGTATCAGTAGTCACTCGGAGTACGTCACCTACACCTCCTGCTCATAGCACATTTCTGCGAAGTAAGCACGCTGGACAACAAGAGTTTACTATGTTAATGGTACCACGAAAATATGAAAGAGGAGTAGATGTCAATTTACAAACTGACGAAAGATTCCTTCGTAACATGCCTAGTTTAAAAGTAGTATCTTCAATTCCTAAACCTAGGTATGTTGGTAATAGATCAAGCTATCATTTTTCTAAGTCTAAAGACTATGGATCAACAAGTGATAATTCAGGTACGTTATTTTAATTTTTTTTTTAAATCAAAACATAATATTTTCAATTTTTTTTTTAAGGTCAAGAACAAGATTCGTATCTTTCTGACTCATCTAGCCACAGTAAAAGTCGTTCAAGTGGTGCAGAGACATCAAAATTACCTCAACCAAACTGGAATAGAAATAGAACTACGGAAAAGAATCGAGAAGAATCTGGCATTAGTCGCTCTCCGTCACTTTCCAGTACGGCGGAAGAAAAACCACCAACAGGTCGAAAAATCGAAGAACCTAAATTAGTTACAATTAGAAGTATTGCACCAGTTTCTGGCATTGCAGTTATATCTGACGCACCTAAATTACAATATCCGTTAAGAAAAATGGATTCTTCTGATCAAGCCTGGTGGTTACAAAATTCGGAAAATAATAATGAAGATCCAAATGTATGTACAAATACAGATTTTGATTTAAATATGAACAACACACTGACTAAAATCCCTTCATATAATATAAGGAAAATGGATTCTTCAGATAGAAATCGGTGGTTAGAAGAAGCTGATCAAGCTGATAATAATGATGTGCCATTGTCGAGTACCGAAAGTAATTCTTATTCAGAATCAACGAAGAGTAACTCTACATCAAGTAAAAGTCATTCATATGGAATTAGAAAAATGGATTCGTCTGATAGAAATCTATGGTTAAAAGAAGCAGTCCAAGAAGATTTAATTAATGAAAAACAAAAACCATGTGCTCAGAATATTTCAAATGTTGGATGTATTAAGAGTAGTACTCAATCAAGCGTAAGTCCTACATACAATATTATAAGAACAGAATCAAGTATTGGAGGCCAATGCTTGAAAGATATTGAAACGCAGGGCTCTATATTATATATTGATAGTGTTTCAAATCCAGATACACATACCAGTCATTCTCCATCAACTACAAATCAAACATATAGTGTTAGGAAAATGGATTCATTTGATACGCCTTGGTGGTTAACAGAAGAAAAAAGTTCATGCGCAAGTGATGAATCCAAATTAAGCTCAAATATAATAGAGGTTAGAAAAAGTGACTATTCTCAAACAAAAAGTCCAGAAATGACGACATCATATGGAGTCAGAAAAATGGATTCCTTTGATAGCCCATGGTGGTTATCAGGAGATGAGGCTAAAAAAGTAAATTCATTAAGTGATATTTCAATTAAAAACCAAAGCGTCGAAGAAATTTCCAACGAATCATTTCCATTTAATTCTGAAAATGATGTAAATATTAATCCACGTGAAAATCAATGGTGGTTGGAAAATGGCCTCGAATCTCAGTTAGAAACCGATTTGCCTAATTTAAATGACAATTCAAATATAGAAATATCTGATAATAATTATTATGCGTCGACAAAGGAATCAGATTCTATTGATTGGTGGAAAGAAGATAAAAAAAATACAGATGCCAGAAGTACAAGTATTTCAACTGATTGGTCGCGTGATGTCCCTGAATCATTTGACCAACATAAAAATACTGCAACAGATGGTCCTATAAAAACCATGACTGGTGTTAGAAAAATGGATTCATTTGATAGCCCATCTTGGTTAGCAAGTGAAGAATCAGAATCTCAAAGTAATGAGCCTAAACAAACTAGTAGTGGTGATGCAGTTAGTTCAAGTTCAAAACAAATAGAAGAACTAGCTGATAGCAGTCCTGATTGGTGGGGAGAAAAAAATGAAAGCGATGATTTCGTCAGAACCAAAAAAACTTCTCTTCGAATAAAGAAAATTGAGAATGTCGTGAACGAAATCGCAGAAATACCTGTCAATAAAATTCAAAAAGAACCAAATTTACAAGACGAGTTGGACCAGTTAATGTTATTTATTGGAGGTTGTCGAAATATTGATGATCTACTAGGAAACGAAGAACCTCCACCTGCAGCACCAACAACACCACCAGATACCGATTCAGGTAATATTATTTCACGTCTTGTCATATCCATATACAAAAAATTATATTGTGTTAACCATATTTTAGACGATTGTGTGGAAGTCAGACCTGACCAAGTTCATATTCACGACAGCACAGCCCAGATGTCAACCATACAAAAGAAACTTACAACGGTAAGTGTATATTTTTTCTACTTATTAATTATTTACACCACCATATTCTCACAATTATACATACGTAAGTATATATCTAATAGTTATATGTTACTATGAAATAGGATTAATGTGGAGTTTAATTAATTAATTATTAATCGAGTTGCCAATAATTATTAGTTAGGTGAGATTATTTATATTGTTTTATATTACGTAAATGATTAAACATTATTTTATTGTTAGTTAAATAAAACTTGTGTTTGGTTTTTTTTAGCATAAGGGATAACAATTGTTATTGTCTCCAATGTAATTTAAGCTTTTTTTACAAGATTTAATTTAGTATATTTTAAGACAACTTGAATAGGTTGGAACGGTTTTTGAGTTAGATAAGCATAAGAAAAAATACTAACATGCAAAAATGATAGCTTAAAAAATATACTATCATTTAATTTTGTTTGTTATACATTAAAATATATAAATTAATAAATCATATAAACATTACAGTATGTTATTACTTATTATAGGCATATTATATTTCTCGACTTATGTCCTTAAATGTGCTTCAATTAAATAATAACTGCAATTTATATTATTTTATTTAATTAGATGTATTTGTAATACTAAAGTTAAACTATTTTGCTACTATTTTATTTTGTATTTGGGTATGTCATTTAAAATTTTAAAAATTAAAATGTTATAACTAGTAGGTATATTTTCACTCTTTAAATGAACTATTTTAACCAAATAAATTAACACTTTATTTTTCGAAATGCTTGTGCAAAAGTTTGTGAAAAATATTACAGATTTTAATTTTAAAAAAATTACTTTAATATTCCATTAATTCTTTGTTTGAAATATTGATAATATTTTTAATTTTAGACTAAAATGTTAAGAGTTTAGCCAAAGCTAGAAGACTTAGTCATAGTAATTAGTAGGTAAACATTTTTCTTAGTTGTAGATATGATGTAAATATATTTTAAAACATAAGATATAGATATTGTTTAGCTTTAAGTTATGATGGAATGAATTAATTTTTTCAATGACATTTTTATTATTATTATTATTATTATTTATTTTTATAACATTCATAATTTAATGTATTATCTAAAATTTTGATTTAATGATACTCACACTTGATTAATTATAACTACAAACAAATAATATCCATGGTAAATTTGTAATCCAAAGTTGTATCATGATTTCTCTAAGTACTTAAAATGTGAATTATGACTAGCAATTTAGTCAATGCCGAGTTCCTTCAGGGTCATTTTTTAAATGTGACATAGTTTACTATCTTTTCAGATTTAAAATAATAATATAATACTATCTAGTTCCTAGTGACACTATATTACTATAATTTACAACTTACTAAATTAGGTGATCGCCATACAATATTATTTTTTATACTTATACGTAGATAGTTTGTATTGAAAATGTTCATAGTGGCGAAGTGGAAATCTCTTTTCATAAAAGCTTCAAATAGGTACAAACGTGAAACGAAATAAGTTTTTAAAAAAATGTTAGTATATTTTCTAGTTGACTTAATCAGTTGAAGTACCTATCCATTATAATACTTAGCTTTTTTCGGGTAAATTGAAAAATAATACATTTAGATAAAATTGTGTTTATTCTCGTCTATAATATTGTGGTTGAAACTATTATTGTTGTTTAATAACGCCACATACAATAGTTTGAAATAAAAGTAAACCAATAAATATTTTTTGTCTTAATGATTTAGTTGACATATGTGTAATATTGCCTAGTATTATTGCCTATATCCCACAGCTAGTGACTATAGTAATGTATAAAAATAATTAACTCTTTTAATTGAGTTTCATTAATAATTTTTTCCACATTAAATTATAACTTTAAGAGTTAATGTTTATTCACTATCAACTAATAATGTCTAAGTGTTCTTAACGTCGACTTGACTAAATTACCTTGGTTCATTTTGTTCGTTAACTTGCTAAAATTAATTGCTTATAGTTACATTATACACACGTACCTATTGTATAGTAATGTTAACATTTAGTTTTTTGGAAAAACAAAACACTAAAATGTACTATAAATCTACTTAATTATATTCTTTGGTCTATACAACTAATAACTATACTTTACTAGGTAGATTGTTAACTTTATTATAATTTGATTTCATCTAACTTACCTAACGTGATTTTTATTTTAACAATTTCAAAAAACACATGGACAGAACTTATAATAGGTATAATATACAATTAATACTCGACGGTCGCCTAGGCCGTGGTATAAACTCAACAACCACTGGTTATAGTGAGTAATTTATTTATAAAAAAGGTGTGCAAGTGGGTGTCGCTCTGCTGTACAGTAGGTTACAAGTGGGTCACTGTATAATGGATGGTATTACATTTGAATTCAATGATATTATATCATTGTATATGAAAAATGATTCTGAGCGGAGACGGTATGTCCTTCTAGGTATAAGACATATTATATACTTATCTATGATATTAAAAAAAATTGACCTATAATGAATTCCAAATTAATCATATCACAATATCCATTAGGTACTTAAAACGCGTTATACACCAACAACAAACCCTGATACTATCATAGATATTATATAGTAGTATACTTTAGAAGTTTCAAGTACCCACGAATAATATTCTACAATCACAACAAAATAACTAAAATAGTTATTCTAGGTTTTTTATTATGTAATTTCGTCCAAATTTGAATTTAAAATGTCTGTAAAAAATAAGTGTGTTCATATATTTTTTAGATTTTTTGGTTACAGTATGAACTATTTATGAGAACCATTGTTTTAAATTTGCAATCCTTAGCTATAAAAACTGAACATTTTATAATTTATTAATTACAATGATTGATAATTTTCGATTAATTTTGATACATTTTGTCAAAATTCGATCTTTAAATGCTTATAAAAAAAAATTGTGCCTATGTATTTTTAATATTTTTCAATTGCTATTGTAACACTATATCAGGATCCTTGTATTAAATTTTTACACTTTTTGGCCCAACAGATAAAACTTTATTGATATTTATAGAAAAAAAATGTAAAGCTGTAAATGTCCGTAAACAGCTCAAAAAGAGTCAAAATATTTTCAAAATTGTATGGTGTATAGGAAATGCTAATATAAACATTCAGTGAATTTTTCATGTATCTACAGTTATTCTTTTTTGAATTACAACAAAATAAGGAAATCGCTACATGAGAAATCGGGTGAATATCCAATGTTGTAAAAATTTGAATTTCAAACGCTCATAAAAATTTAAGTTGACTTTCTTATAGGCATGTTTTTTTTTGCTAAATGTAGATAATCTTATAAGGAATCTTGTATTACATTTTAAAATCTTAGATTTAAAAAGAAAAATTTTTACGATTTCTCAACTCAAAATAATTTGCTAATTTTCATGATTTTTCCATACTTTGTCAATTTTTGAACTTTCAATGCTTATAAAAAAAATTGTGACTAAGGATTTTTAATATTTTTCATCTGCCTTTGTAACAATATACTAGTAGCCTTCTATTAAATTTTCAAGCTTTCGCAACCAACAAATAAAATTTTATTGATATTTTTAGAAAAAAAACTAAAAAAAATGGAAAATGAAAATGTCCCTAAACAATTCAAAATAAATCAAAAAATTTTGAAAATGTTATCGTGTATGGAAAATGCAAATATAAACAACTAGTGAAAATTTCATGTATATACGTTCATTTTTTTTAGAGTTACACCAAAAACCAAAATCGATTTTCTCGAAAACAGATTATGCGTAAAAATTCCCATTTTTCCTTAATTTTTCTTTTGTTTTTCACGGCGCTTTTGAAAACTACTGAGAAATTTTTACTTTTGACCCTCCAAAGTACCAACTAGATTCACTTTCCTATCAGAAAAGCTACTGTTGTAGAAAATCCAAGCACTTTTACTGTCCTAAAACGTGATGACAGACACAAAAATAAAAAAAGTAAATAAAAAAAAAATAAAAAAAACACACATCATTGTAAAATCAATACATTCATCGTTCCACTCAGAATCTAAAAGGGGACGAGGGTGCTTAAAAAATCAACCCATACGTACCAATTTATATTAAATGTATTTTTATTGGAACTTTGAAAGTGAACGTTTAAAAATATATAAATATTTCATATATGCTCAGTATTATATTGTTCTGGAGTTTAATTTGGCATACGTCAATTTTATCAGTGATATCAGTACATTATTAATGTTAGAAATCGTTTACACCTACAACTGGCAGCTGCCGTGAGTATGAATATATGTACATATTTTAATAGTATTGTATAATATACTATTGTACATTTGTACTATGATAATATTATATTAAACTAAAAAACACTCGAGAGTGATCACGGATCATACACATATTTTATAGTCTATTATTCAATTGTTATAATTCGTTATAAAAACATAGTAATCATGTCAACTAAAGTAAAACGATTATTATTTATGAATTATGGATTCAATAACCACATTGCCCGATATCAGGACGACAGGGTCTATTCTACCAAATACCTACATATTTTTACTATATATTTTATATTTTATTATTTTTTGCTGAAACTTTCTATTTTAAATTTTTTATTTTGATAAATGGATTGGTACAGTTTTTAAAAATTAAAGTGTCCCCCTTAGGCAATTCAAACAAAATCTAAAAAAATACTAAAAATAATAAAAATCGGTTATTTTTAATATTTTAATTTATTTTAGGTACCTATATAATATATACCTAATTTTAAACTTGATCTGTGACAACAGTATGACTTAATATTGAATTTTGGGTTTTCATAACCAGAAAATGTCATGTTTTTTTTTAAAAATATGTTTACCTTCGCACTTACACAGGACACTTATAACCTCTCGACAAAAGTCAACATATTATATGATGTATATTAATAAATAATAAGGAAATCCGAAATACTATTAGATTCACAAAGGAGCCATTTGATTTTACAATGTTGCTTTTTTGTGAAGTATAAAAATACTTCGATTTTCGTCTATTAGTAGATAACCGCGATTTTCATACGCGTAATCTTTTTTTCGGTAATAAAGGGAATCTACTTAGTACTTAAGAGGATATTTGAATTTTTGTAAGCTCGATTCCTAGTGGTTTTCAAAAGCGTCGGAAAAAGAAAAAGAAAATCTGTAATTTTTACGTAAAACCAGGTGACATAGATATTTAAAATAACTATTTTTCTTCAAACGATATTTGATATATTGTTGTAATTCAAAGATGAATAACCATAGGCGTGCAGCTGCATACCCTGAAGCTCTTTGAGGGGTGAAATTCGACTCTGGAAAATAATCTTTTTTGCTCTAGAAAAATAATTAATACGTATATTAAAATATTTATAATGATAACAATATATGATTAAATACGAGGGAAACGATAGCAGACTAACGGCAGGGATAACATTTGATTCACGTATAGAATGATTGCAATGCTAACCACCATCTGACGTATGAACATAATACTGCCTATGGCCGTGCTATTAGCAAATTAAACATCCAGTTATCGGTTATCAACTACCAAGTATTTGCAAAATGCATACTTTTTGTATTTGTCATAGTATTTTGTTACAATATTTCAGTTTTTATTTTTTAAATAAGAATAATAGATTTCATAGTCAATTAATCGATCTTTCAATACGGAAAAGCTCGAACCTATAGTAAAGTTATTATTTTAAATCCCGAAGACATCAATGTTTTCAAAAACGCTACCCAACGCAAAAATGTGTTATGATAAACTATAATTTTTATTCATATGACAACGTTTTTTTTTTTTGTCTGTACAAGTTGTATGATTATATATAATTTTTTTAATTAAACAGTAAGATATTTCAATATTTACGTATTGAGTATATATTTTATCAACATTTTAAATGCTTAAAATAACTTTTAGGGGGCGCCAGTGGCAACCTTCTGCATACCCTGAAAAAGAGGCCTGCGCACGCCTATGTGAATAACCGAAAATACTTAAAATGTTCTTTAAATATTCATATTATCATGTTTTATATACATAATGGTACAATTTAAAAAATATTTTTACTATTTTTGAGCTAGATAGACGATTGACATTTTTGAATTTTTTCACCTGATGTCGATACTATATATTTCATATTGAAAACAACAATTCTGAAAAGTATACATAATACATAATATGCAGTTTTTCTTTATATAGACATTTGAGATTCAGATTTGGACACAATTATATATTTAAACAAAGAATAACGATGCTGTTTATTTTGTTGTAATTATAAGACATTATTCGTATCGGCTGACAGATGGTTTCGGCTTAGAATCTTTTCTAGTTTTCTCGTATAGAATAGTATATTATCATTGAATTCAAATTGAATACATCTTTTACAGTTACCCACTCGACACCTTCTGTACAGCTGAGCGGTACCCATTAATAATAAAAAAAGTATTTAAAAAAATATAAATCATTGTGTAAACCTGCAAGTACTTTGTACTGCACATGAAATATTGGCGGAAATGCACTTGTCAGTTTTATAACGTCACATATTTACATGCGAAATTTAAAATTAGGTTTATTGTCCTTGGTGTACAATATTATGATAAACTCAATTTGAACTTCATGTTTTAACTCAATTAAAAATTTAGTCTTGTAATAATTTTTAAAAAGATGTTTTTTATTTAGTAAATTAGGGAAATGGTTTTATTGAAAAAATTGTCACCTTGTCTATACAACTCAAAAAAGTATTCCCAACAGTGCATACAGTATATATGTTCTCAACAGCTCTTTATTGCATTGTAGTATTATTATTAACTTTAGATGGTTATTTTATTTTCGGGACAATTACATCCGAGGATTCTGATGTCAAGGCAATTACTATTTTCCCGTAATGCCACACGCGCGTCATAATAAAATTAATACTTAGGTATACAATATAATTCATAATATTATATGATCTATATATTAATATGTTACGTGCAATGTGATGGAATATCGAGCAAGGTTTTAAACTTTTAAGAGGATGTCAGCGCACTATTTGTTTTCTCTCACTGACTCATACTCAACATTATAGACAAAACGCAATTGCGCAGCATCGTTTTTTCCATGGTTTTAAGTAATCTTATAGTAAAATCACCCATTACAAAAAAGATAGAGAATAATATTTTTGAAGGAATCACATATCGATTTGTATGAATATTGTTTCAAAACAATTTAAACATCGTTTAAATTTATAACAATTTTATGTTTTTTATCGAAAGTCGAATACAATGTCAAATAACAATAAAATATAAAATCGATATGCCATTCCGTGTAAAATATTATTCTCTAGATTTTTTGTAATGGGTGATTTTACTTTAAGATTACTTAAAAACCTAGAAAAAATGATTCCGCGTAAATGCGTCTTGTCTATGTCGCGCGTGGGCCACAGAGAGATATTCCATCACATTGAACTTATCATATTCATATAATTTAGATTATATAATATTATGAATTATATTGTATACCTAGATTTTAATTTTATTATAACGCGCGTGTGGCATCACGGGAAAATAGTAATTGCCTTGACATTAGAATCCTCGGATGTAATTGTCCCGAAAATAAAATAACCATCCGACATAATATTTAAATGCAATCGGTTCTGTGGTATGTATTTACGCCACTCTCGTCCGAGACAGTTAGATTTCCTATGACGTAGACGCGACGAGCGCGTACGATAATAATACTTTCACTTAATTCGTTTTCGAGATCTATATTATGTTATCGTCGTCGTGCATACAGGTATGAGGTATCTATATTATGCATGACTTATATACATGTATTATATGTGCATACAATAATATTGTGTTTCATCCGTACCTATACGGTGGTTTAGGTATACTCAAGACCGCTGTTGCGTGGCGTAGTCGACGACGTGAGCAAATATAGGTAGGTAGAGGTATCCTCCTGTATCTATTATACATCGGTGCACCGAAAATTAGGCATGATATTATATTATTTATGTAGGTACCACGCAAGTTCATAGAAAATTCGTTTCGTCAACCCGATGACGCGTTGTATACTGCCAGTACAATAATATTATCGAGCCACCAATAACAATACCGCGGCACACCGATTATTACAAATGTGGTGAAATTACTAAATGAGTTACGAAAAATAATGATGGTGTAGGTACGTCTCCAGTCTTCTTCAATTAAAAACAGAAATGTCTATTATTATTGCATACTATAGTCTCGGTAATTCGATACGCTTAAACTGCCGTGTAGGTATACCTATTATCAAATTAATCGGAGACTCTTTGAAAATGTTTATACTTACCTATAACCTATATGTAATTTAATTTAATAGAAAACAAATTCTGTATAGGTTTAATATTATTATCAAATGTTTTGCGTAATATTTCAGAACCGTTTAATCTTTGTACATTGTTATCTTTTTAGTTCGTATATTTTGTAATGTTCTACATGGAAAATCGACACGAACATTGAAACATTCTTAACAGTAATTTTTATACATTGAGGATTTGAAATTTGGACATATTTTATGTCTTTATTTTTTTTTTATTTGTATTGGGCATTTTTAAAATGGATATTTTTTTTAGTAACACCAAACTACCTATATTGTTTGTTATATTTGTATAGTGACTTGAAATAAAACGAACGCTTTATCGTAACAAAAACTTTGGGGTGCAGCGAGGGAGAAGTCACTGTCAGCCGAGTGATTTGGCGAGAAGAACGCGCGCTCGCAGTATTCTCCCGCGGAGGGACGACTCTTTAGGGTATAACAATATAATAATAATATATCCTCTATTATATTATTATATGGTAAATATATTTCCTGCGACCATTGTTAATATTGCGATAGGGTCGTTGTTATTATCAGCTGATATCGGATCGCGTGGTGACGGGGGTGGGTGGGGGGAAACTACTACTACACGATCCTCCGCCTATCTGTCCGCACGGCGGCGGAGGTGGTGGCGGCCGGTGGCGGTGGCGGTGTCCTCCGCAAACGCCAGTCAGTCAGTCCGTGTCCGTCTCGTACGACCGATCTCGACGCGTACACCGTCGTACAGCCCCGTCTGTCGTATACGACCGCAATAACAACGATAATACCTATACGTAAATCGTGCAGTATCAATCTCGTCCAAAATAATAATATAATATCATCATCGTCGTCGAATTATTGCGTGAATTCGTTGCGGGGTTTTCGTGTGCGAGTAAAACTGAATTATTATGTCTGCGCGCGTCTGTCCGAAAACTGTTGTGGGCATTCGCGTCGTCGAGCGGGTGTAGTTACCACAATCTCTGAACGGCCAATAATTTATCGGCTGCGATCGTTCGTTTCGACTCAGACGTCATCGTTTTATGCCCGCCATGACGTCGCTCGCGTGTCGGGTACAGTACGTGGACGACACCGACCCGTTCGAGTACTCGGCCAACGTGCCGGAGCCGCAACGGGCGCCGCCGGTACATTCGTTCAGCCTCACGTTACCACTGATCAACCAGTTAGCCGGCGTGTACCGGGTCCTCCGGGCCCCGCACAGAGTAAGTCCTAGTCTGCCATTGTCGTTGAGCTCTCCGTGGCGTACTTAACTTTAGTACCTACCTGTTGTACAAATCGCGAAGCGTAAATCTATATACGCTTTCAAGCTTTGAATACAATAATAGATAGGTACAAAAATGCGTTTGCAAACATATTATATTATATATTATCCGCAACGCGCAGGCGCCAGCTAGTAAATAGCGTGAGGAGAATGTTGAGCTGTAAAATAAACGGCCTCACAGAATTCAGAAAATTGACCCTTCTTAATATTCAATCTGGACCCTGTATAACTTCCAAATTGCACATGGCTCTTCGATGAAGGGTTTTTGTCCATTGGAGTGAGTAGGGGGGGGGGGAATATCGAATATCGTGTCATCGGCTGTCGCGTTCAATTGATTATAATATACGAGATAATATATTATGTACCTTAATGCCTACCATGTGACATCACTTTTGATTAAAATCGAGTTTGTGAGTGTGCGATTACATTCTGTAACTAGCAACTACCTAGGTACTGAGCGCGAATGATTAAAGTCCTTAATAAATCAATGATTTCATTCTCCTGCCGAAAAAGAAAGAACATGTGTCTCGGTGCTTGTATATTACTATATTTATGGTTGGTAATTATATCTATACTACATTTCGGGGACTTGATTTCGAAAATTTCGCATTTTTTATTATCCGATGGGTGGTTATTTGTCTATATTATTACGGCGTGATGTAGACAAAATAACCGCACGTGTCTGCAGGCGACTGCAGCTTACTAGTGTATTAGATGTCCGTGAGATATTGTACCTACCTATACTAATATATTATATATATTCGGTGGAATCCGTGTAAAGACGGTTCCTTGGGAAAAACGCGAGCTGAATATGAATTGGGGAGAAAAAAAATCACAGTGTTTACATAGGACCACGGTGACGATACCCTGTGACGACGGCCACGGCGTGGATACGTTGAACCCGGTGGCGTTATTCGTTAAGTTATAGCTCCGGCGGGCGGAGTGTCACCGAATAATAATATCTCCCAAACGTGTACAATACATTACCATTATTATTACGTACCTCTGTTACGATATTACGTATGTATAGAATGCATCATGTGTGTAATAGTAATAATAATAATAATGACAATAACAATAATGGATGCCAGTGGCCGGCCTTGAAAACGGATGCTCTCGAATTCGCGGTGTGGTATACTTATTGTATAACGCGCATTCATATTATTAACAATATTCGATCGGCCCGTTGTGTTTCATTGATCCGAACCCGAATCTGGTCCGATTGCATCTGCTATAAATATTGTAAACGTATAACCATTTTTGTTATATTCTGCGGTATAACATTAAAATATAATGAGTGAGGGAGGGATACCTTCGCCAGTGCTTATAACATTTCGAAACGAGATCGAACGATTTTTACAATGTGCGGATACAGTGATATCATTATATGATTTTGGTTATTATTATTATGTTTTTTTGAAACCCTTCGACGTGCAAATACTATACAAATCACGGCAATTTTTTCGCATGAGTTTATATTAATGCATGCGAATCGACAAAGTCGTGCGGATAAATGACCCGGACTCACTTTCTTTGGTGGCCGCACGAAAACAACCGCTCCATGGTATTATTATTATTATACCATAATATTATATTATATTATTATATAGGCGCATTCGTTTGTTTGAAGGCGACCGGTATCTACAAAACATAAAACGAATATAATAATAATATAGGCGTCTAATATTGTCGCACCCGAATAGCCCCGAATAGGTCGGCTTATCGTGTTCACACCAAAAAAAGTAAAAATAAAAACCACTTTCTTAATTCCAATAAAATATTATGATGCTTATTATATACCACATATATGCATTTTTTAACACTAAAAACATAAAAGACCGTATGTGCCATCGTTTAATGCGTGCGTGCGCGCACGCGCGTGTGTAAAGAATTGTCAATTAGTTTCCGAGATGTAATCGAAAACGACCATTATACAAATAAAAATGTAAATCTATCAATTTTTATTGCAATTTACTTTCATGGCCACACCTATCGTAGGTTATAAAATATCTATTTGTTTCCGGCAGTATATAATGTAGAAAACGAAATTTTCGACAAAACGGACCATAATCCAGAGTTAGGCATTATCTAATCCTTTTTTATGTCGATTGTGGAAGATAATAATATGGTGATACAATAGGTAGACTTTAATAATTATTGTTATTATATATTTTTCATCTTATAATGATTTCTTTATATTTTATTGCTGTTAGATATTCATTTTGATACTGTTACTTTCATAATATTATAACATAACATGTCCTTTTTTCTATCATAATTTCTTTGTTTTGGGAATCAGAAATCTTAATTTACCGAAACGGTTGTTATCGTTTATTTCTATAGTTAAAAATCGTTAATCAGTAGAATTTAATTCTATAAGAACCTATTCATAATTTAAGAGATTATTACAATATAATTTTAATTAGTAAGTAGGTACCTACTTTAATATTTACATTGTTATTAATATTAGCATTATTAAAGTTGTACCTATTATATAATGGAGCATTAAATATAAATATAAATATATTTAATGTACTATTTAAATCGAGATTTAAATGCAGTTTTCATAATGATATATATTGAAACGGTAATTCCTACGATAGTATAAAAATATAGAATTTAATATATATATTATATTATATATATCTTTTAGGGTATCGGGTATATGTGGGTGGCTATGTGAGGTTAGAATTGTGTGTTAAAAATGAAAAACATTGAACATATTAATATTAAAATGTATTAAGTACCTACTATTATAACTTTATTATATAAAATAATTATTGAAATATTTAATTGCAATTAAAAATAAAGAATGATAGTTAAACATATTAAGTTTCCTTTATTGTAATTGCATGAGAACTATTGTGGTAGTCCCTACATAATTAAATAACATTGCTGTTAAAAATATATACATTCATTTATTTAACTTTTTCTTTGAAATTGGATTGCTTATAATCTACTCTTATATAATCAGTAATTCAGTAATTGTATACAGTTAATTATAAACTCGAAGAAATCACACAAGTGTAAGTTGTTAAGGTTATCAGAAATTTGCATTTAAAATGTGTAAATCCTATTTTAGTAGAAAAATACATTATAATTTATATTGTATGAACATACTTAATATTCATAATTCGTATATTCGATTGAGTGAATGTTGAGTACTCATAATATGTTATGACAATGTTTAACTTTATTCTATACAAATGACGTATTTTGTTTTATTGTACAATTGTACATAATAATATAGTAAAAGGGTGAAAGTTAAGTAGTAGGTGCGTTCCAATAGTTTGTTTGAAAACTTGCAAAACCATTATTCTAAATTTATCGAGTTTTAACCTATATATACATAATATACCCTAGAAAATGTTGGCTTTCGAACAATATTGTCAAATCGTATGGGATTATTCGGTTTACGAATCTTTTTTGGTTTGCGTAATTGCCAAAAAAAAAAAACAAATAATAATAATAATAATAATATATGTACAAATTATACGATTGTGTGAAAGCAAAATTTGCTATAAAAACTAACTGCGTTGATACGAATAATAAATAACTAATCTGTCACACGCGTTTTCTTTTTAATATTCATTAGTAAAAAAATATAAATCCGATAAGCTATGATCAAAAGTTGCGTACTCCCGTTAGATATGTTTATTATAATAGTAGGTAGTTATGTTTTCATCGTGGTGTGACTAATCACGTTAGATTATAATAACATATTACTATAATAATACTACTATAGCACAACATTATAATATCGGCTCGTTGGCCGTTGTTTTTTGATTTTAAAAGAAAAACCTGTGTCTAACGAGATATATTTTTTAACACTATTTTTCATTTATATAAAATTGGGGGGATGTATGTATATTGATTTTTTTATCCATCTACATACTTTTTTATACTAAAAAAATGCATCGATTTTCAACTTTGAGGGTAATTCATAGTAGGAAATTGGATATAGTTGGTACTTAACAAGTTGACTGCCGTGAGTATCCTATCTGGTACTCACATGATTTGTCTCCCGGGCCACAGTATTTTTATAGAGCCATCCTCATACACTATGAGTACCAATCCTGGTACTCACACGTCATTTGACACGTGATAACCGTTTGACCTTGATAACTAATAGTTTTTTTCGTGATTTCGTGACTGAGTACCATTATTGGTACTCAATAATCCAGAAAACCTAAAACCCTACGAGCCAAACCGAGTGAGTACCATATTTGGTACTCATGGCGTATGAGGATAGCTCTATAAAAATACCGTGGCAGTCAACTTGTTAAATACCAATAGTACTTTTCAAAATGACCGGAAAAAACCAAAAACAAGAAAAAACAGGAATTTTTACGCAGTATTCTACAAAAAATATAATCAAAAGCAAACAACTTAAGATACCTGAAAACTTAACTGAATGTTTTTATTAGTATTTTCTAGTTCAATTTTTAATTTTTTTTATAATATTTTGACTCTTTTTGAGCTATTTATGACATCTATACATTTCGAGAGTAAAATTTTGAACTAGCCAAAAACCTCGAATATTTAATGCAAGGTTTATTTTAAGTTTTTCGTATACTAATTAAAAAATATCAAAAATATGAAGTCTCCATATTTTTTTATAAGCTTTTAAAGTTAGAATTCTGATGTTATCTTTTTATAATTAAAAATGCAAATAAACTCTTTATATTCATACTTGTGAGGTTTGAAAATGTAATACATATACAACTATACAAGGTTCCTCATAAGTAGTTATAGCTGGAATTAAAAAAAAGCGTAATCACGCAAATATTTTTATGAGCGTCTGAAGTTTAAATTTTTATGAAATTTTTTATACTCCCGGGTAAAATAACTATATTTCTCAAGATACGATTATTTTATTAAACACTATCTGGATATTTGTAGAGTAGGTACCTAATTTAGATATTTGTACCAAATGTTTGTACACAAATTAAGTATATATAGTATACTACCATTTCTTATACACGGAAT